GGTTACGTCGGGCATGTGCCCCTGCAGGGGGATGTTCGACGAAGGATATTACTCCAGATTTCGCAGTAAAGGGAGGGGGGTCTCATTTCGGGAGGGGGGGTCTCTTCCAGGCTCTCTCGGAGGGCCTGGGGGGGGTCTGGGGACGATGTTTTGGAGGGTTCTCCCACGGGGGAAGTATGAAATGGCTCGTCTTGGAGGGTCCAGACCCCCTCCCTTTTATTACGAAATCTGGAGTACACATACTCCAAACATATTCAACAATGATTCAAGCATGCAGGCAAAATCACCACCAGACTATTTCTGGACTGCTCTGGAAGATCCCCCCTGTCCCAACTTGACTTTAGGGTGGTGATGACCAAAAGACGTCCAAAGTCTCGGCCGCACCCGACGCTTTCTGGCAACACCCGGGGCCAAGATGCGAGGCGGGGATGTATCCATATCCACCGCCTGGGAACCGGCGACCTGGTGCCCCAGCGGGCGGCGGAAATGGATAGATGTTGGCCCCCCCGGGCCCGAATATGTCCATAATTATCCACCGCCTGCCGATGCCACCGAAACTGATCCTTCAGGCGGTGTCATGTATAAATTCCCGCCTCGGACAAGGAGCAGCCACCAGGGCCTCCCAGTTGTGAACAATCTCCAGCGTGACTTGTTTACGAGTCGCCAGAGTTCTGGGCCGCCCAGACCTCGGGCGACTGGAACAGCAGAAGCAATGTTCTGCTCTAGAGTTAGGTCTGGCATGTCCCTCTACAGGCGGACACTGGACGAGAAATAAACAATACCCAACAAGTACCCAAAATATGCTCAAAAATAATAGTAAAACAAAATCGTCCCCATACTATTGTTTGACTGTTCTTGAATATCCTCCCTGTGGAGGGACAGGCCCGACTTCACTCTAGAGAAACAGGACACGACACGACCACACGCGATCGGAGGCCCAGCCCCGCGGGGGGACGGAGGGTCGAGCGCCGCGAGTCCGAGACTAGAACCACGCGCGCGCTTCGCGCGCGCTTCGGTTCTAGTCGACCCCATCCCTTGAGGAGGTCCCGTATCCACTGAAGTGATTACCCATTGATGGTGTAAGCATGAGGTACAAGAAGCATCCATAATGCTGGCCGAACAGAACCCAAGCACCGACAATGACATATGCTCCTTAATCCGCCGACCCTGTCGGCGTGTGTGAGGCGCTCTTTCGTTTGTCGTCGTCGGTGTCGTCGTCGACGTCGCCGTCGTCGTTGTCGTCGTCGTCGCCCTCGCCATCTTCCCCCTTTCCCCGGGCCCTCTTCCTCAACCAATCCAGCCAATGCGAAATCGAATCGAACAACGAAGGGAAGCACCTTCCCTTGATCCCTTCCGCAGCGGGGGGGGCGTCCCGGGGCAACTCCCGGGGGGTGGTCCCGCCGGGTGGTCTCGGGGGGTGGTCCTCGGGGGTGGTCCCGGGGGGTGCCCTGGGGGCCGTGGGGCTCCTGTTATTGTTTTGCCGATCCCGAATATGTGGCGGAGGGTCCCCGGGACCGAACCGGGGGAAGAGAGCCTCTCCTCCCTTCCCCCCAGCGTCCCCGCTTTGCCCCCCCTTCCAAGCGTTCCATGCTCCCCCTGTCCACAGGAGGGAGCCCCCCCCCACGGGCCAGTCCCCCCCTCCACAGGGGGGAGCGACCCCCCTTGGTCGTCGTCGTCGTCGTCGTCGTCGTCGCGCCGCCGCCGTCGTCGTTCAGGGTCGGCGGCACAGGCAGTAAGGCCTCTCCAGTATTCAATTCGAAGCTATGCAAGCCAGTTTAGCCAAACACATGCAAGGCTATGAATGCAATGCAAAGCAAAGGAAAGCGATGCTCATAAGTGCAACGTGGATCACGAAACAATGCAATTGCACATGCAACGGAAAGCAGCCCAGTGGAATGCAATGCAATACAATGCACGATAAGACAAAAGACCGAGAGAGTCCGAGGCGTCACGGAACTCAGAGATCCCAGGGACGAGCCCCCCTGGTTCTCCGAGAGAGGCTAAGGGGGGCCCAAGCGTGGCCCCGAAAGAGCTCCAAGCAGGCTCCAGAACGAAGCACAGGAGGGCCCCAAGAGGCGCCCCAAGAAAGCGCGAAGATAACGACAGAAAGAGAGGGTCCAAGGAAGTGCCTCCTCAGCGCAACAGCCCCATCCCTTGCGAAGGTCACAGCTCCACTGAAGCAGTGACCCACAACTGGCTTGAGCTCGAGGTAAAAAAAAATACCGATCATGCGGATGGAAGCGAGACCTACGGCCCCAGATGAAGGCGGGGTTCACATGGCGCCCCCCCCTCAATTTCGGCACGGCACTCACACGGATCTTGTCCCCCTGGGAGCTCCTCTTTCGGGTCCAGGGACAGAGTTCACACGGCGTCGCTCCGCCCATCTCGGCATACCCAACACACGACTCGTGCCCCAGAGGGATGTCGTTTCACGTGCGGCCTTAGTGTGGGGATTCGCATAACGTCACGTCCCCCCCCCACGCGTATGTCGCCTGTCTCCTCACACGAATCGTATCAACAGGGAGCTCCACCGACGGTTCCAGAGCCAACGTTCGCATCCCGCCGCCCCGCCCATGGCAGAAAATACACCCCTGACCTGGATCGTGAGTTCGGGGCGTCTTAGGTGCTTCTGTGGGCCATGCGGCATGTTTCTGTGAGGCCTCTGAAGCCCTGAGATGGATCGTGAATCGGGAGCCTCTTGAAGCCTTTTCTGGGAGCCTCGTGCAGGACGTCGAAGCGAGACCTCCCATACGCTTACGGGTGACTACTGGGAAGCCTCCTGGGACCGTTTTGAAAGCGTTTTGGGAGTCTCTGGGGGCCTCTTGGGACCTTCTTGGGGGTGCTTTTGGGGCTTTTTGGGGCTCTTTGGGGCCCTCTTGGCCCGTCCCGGGGCCCACTTGGACCGTCTTGGGCGCTTGGGCCGTCTTGGGGCCCTCTTGGGCCGTCGAGGGTGCCTCCTGTGGCCCTCTTGGGGCTCCCTCGTCACTCTTTTGGGAACCTCTGGGGACCGTCGTGGGCCGTCGGGGGGCTCTCATGGGCCGTGTTCTTTTTGGCCACGACTCGCTCCCGAACAGGATGCAGCCTTCCCCAGGCGCAGCCTTTCCCGAATCCGCATGAAAAGCTCTGGTCCCCTTTCCATCATCCTTTTTCCCTCCTCCTTCTCCTCCTCCACCATTACCTCCTCCTCCACACACCCCTTCCTCCCCATCCTCCTCCTCTAACTCCTACCTGGCCGTCGAGCAACAGGTGTCGGCAACGACAAAAAAATGCTAAACCTGCCCAGAGTTGCGCGTGCCCTCGACCGTCGAGGACCCAGGAGGGGATATGTTTGGACGTTTTCGGATCGAACCTTTTCCCCCTCCCCAACCCCTTTCCCCCTCCAAGCGGCGAGCCCAAGGCGGCACAAAAGCATGTTCTGGCAACGGGCGAACGCCGACAAAGGCACGCCGGCTTCCGTGCCAGCGAGTGCTTACCCGCCTGCGCCCAGAACTCCTGATCGTTCCTTGTCGTGCCTCCTACCTGGCCGTCGAGCAACAGGTGTCGGCAACGACAAAAAATGCTAAACCAGCCCAGAGTTGCGCGTGCCCTCGACCGTCGAGGACCCAGGAGGGGATATGTTTGGACGTTTTCGGATCGAGCATTTCCCCCCTCCCCAACCCCCTTCCCCCTCCAAGCGGCGCGCCCAAGGCGGCACAAAAGCATGTTCTGGCAACGGGCGAGCGCCGACGAAGGCACGCCGGCTTCCGTGCCAGCGAGTGCTTACCCGCCTGCGCCCAGAACTCCTGATCGTTCCTTGTCGTGCCTCCTACCTGGCCGTCGAGCAACAGGTGTCGGCAACGACAAAAAATGCTAAACCTGCCCAGAGTTGCGCGTGCCCTCGACCGTCGAGGACCCAGGAGGGGATATGTTTGGACGTTTTCGGATCGAACATTTCCCCCCTCCCCAACCCCCTTCCCCCTCCAAGCGGCGAGCGCAAGGCGGCACAAAAGCATGTTCTGGCAACAGGCGAGCGCCGACAAAGGCACGCCGGCTTCCGTGCCAGCGAGTGCCTACCCGCCTGCGCCCAGAACTCCTGATCGTTCCTTGTCGTGCCTCCTACCTGGCCGTCGAGCAACAGGTGTCGGCAACGACAAAAAAATACTAAACCTGCCCAGAGTTGCGCGTGCCCTCGACCGTCGAGGACCCAGGAGGGGATATGTTTGGACGTTTTCGGATCGAACCTCTTCCCCCTTCCCACACCCACCCCTTTCCCTTCCAAGCGGCGCGCCCAAGGCGGCGCAAAGGTAGGCACGCCGGCTTCCGTGCCAGCGAGTGCCTACCCGCCTGCGCCCAGGACTCCTGATCGTTCCTTGTCGTGCCTCCTACCTGGCCGTCGTGCAACTGTATAACAGGTGTCGGCGTCGACAAAAATTGCCAAACCTGCCACAAGGTGCCCGTGCCCTCGACCATCGAGGATCAAGGATGGGATGTGTGTTCGACGTCTCGGCTATCTTGGGCTGGTTAAGAACTTTTCCTCTTTGAACTTCAATCGTTCGGTTCGTGTTCCCCCCGTCTCTCTGCCCTCACGAACCCTTTTCCCTGTTGCTGCGCAAAGCCTTTGTGCCCGCGACACTGCGACGTCCAGAAAAGCGGACTCAGCGATTCTAGGAGAGGGTGCTCCTGGGGGTGGGCCCAGCACGGCCACTTTGGTTCACTACGCTCGCCTGGGGCCAACCCAGGGCAAGCGCAACCATGGATGCTAACAAAGACGGACCGAACGAGGCCCCTTAAAAATGATGGGTCGAGCGATGCCCTTGTGGTGCACTGCGCAAAAAGGACGAAATCCAGCACGTGGCGGCGCGAAGACGGGGGCATGGCAAGGGGGCGGGCGTCCCCAAGACGGCATGCAAGCTGCCAGAAGCGATCGGGCGCGCAGATGCGTACACCCAGACATCCAAAGGGGCGCCTTGTGCGCTCGACGCTACCTTCTTTTGTTCCAAAGGTCTGGCTGGCACGGGGCCTCACGCGTTGAACCAAGTGCCGTGCCCCCCGTCCCCGGTCACCGTCTCGAGGCGATGGATCCTCCTCTCTAACGACTCATACTCTCCCCTCAGACTATCAGGTATGTCCAATTGACGCTTTAACGACTCAATTGACGACTCATACTCTGCCCTCATACCCGTCCCTGGTGGTATCTGCCATTGACGCGCTATTTGCTGGAAGCGCAGTCTGGCCGAATCCAGCTTCTTCTCCCGAAACCACTTCGCCCACTCCTTAGCTTCGGCCAGTTCCGCCGTGAGGAGGCGCTCCTTCTCCTCCCACTTCCTGATGATGTGGAGATACTCCTCCGGACGCGGTTCTTGCAATTTACTCTCGATTCGCATTCGGGTCTTCGCCCGAGTCGACTTCGCCAACTCCAACAAATTGGCCAGGTCTTCGCGCATCTCCGCTGCATCCCGCTGCGACTCCGCGTGCCGCATGCTCAGCCGCCTTGAGGCGGCCTTAAAGTCGCCCCGCACCTCCTCGCGGAAGGCAGAGGTGAGCATGCAGCCTCCGAACTTGCAGCGCAGCTGCAGCGGGGCTCCGCCCACCACGCGCTCCACAACCAGCGCGGTGAACGGAGGTAGAAGCCACTCGCGCTCCCCGGGATACGCGCTCAGCTCCATCATCGGGAAGGCGTGGGTGACGCCGGATACGGTGAAGAGCACGTTATTTTTCTTGGGCGCCTGCCGGTTGCAGCACGCCTCGGAGATCGAGGCGTCGACTGTCGCGCTGGAGGGCGCCGCCCGGAAGAAACGGTCGCCAGCGGCCTTGGCCCTGAAGCCATCGACTAAGGAGCTGGGCAGGCCGCGCAGGCCGCGCGTTACAACCATGGGCTTCTCGAGCGTCTTCGCCGAGAGTCCCGAGAAACACGCCCGCCTGATCCATGCTGTCAGGCCGCCCAGGGAGCCCTGCCGGTCGCCAGCGCTGTCACAGCAGACGCGGGAGGCCCAGTTCGCCACCTGGAACATTTGTGGATTTCGCTTTCCGCCTACTTTCTGCCTGTACTCGCTGTAGAACTCGTCGCGCATGGCGGGCTCTTCCAGGCCCTCTGGCAGTTCTGGGACGTCTTCAAAGCAAAACAACCTGTCGATGTCGACGTCCTGCATGGCATACAGAGACCAAGTGGCGATGGCCAGCAATTCGCCCTGCAAGTCCTCATTCAGTGGCCTCGCAGAGTATTTGTCGCGCGGCCGCTTGCACGCCTCTGCGAGGAGCTGGATCTGCCTGCAACGGCGTCGCGTCGCCCGCGGGCCCAGTCTCCTTCTGGTTGTCGAGTAGCTCGTCCAGGATCGTGCTGGGCTTCTGCGCGTATAGCTGCTCAACAAGAGTCATGAACCATGTGACCTGCGTCTCTTGGGTCTCCGCCGATATCCGCGCGGCTCGGGTCTTGGCGGTCAGCCCGGCGCCCGCGATCTTGCCCACAGCGTCCAGAATCCACGCATTCTGGGTCTCGATCGCCGTGACCTGCGCCATCAGCCTCTTCAGCTCATCGAGAGAGAAATCGTCTGACTGCTGCGCGCGCTCTCTGGCCTCCGCTCTTTTCCCTTCTGCCAACGCCCTCGCCTCTTCGATCTCCGCCTCGAAGTCCTTGCGCAGCATCTCCAGGCGCTTCCTCGCCTGCTTTTGTCGCTCCGCCGCCGCGGTGGCCCTGGCCTGCTGCTCCAGCCTCTCCTATGCGGCCTTCGTCGCCCTCTTCTGGCGCTCGGCTTCCGCTTTCGTCAGATCTTCTCGGATTGAGGCCTCGTCTTTGAGAAAATAAACACTGTACCTAAGGACCGATTTCTGGCACTTCTGCAACTCATGCCAGCACGTGACGCTGTCAGTGATAGGCATGCCGTTGACCATGATGATGCTCCAGCCTGGCCGCACGCCCAAGAATCGGGCCTGGCACGACACGCGTTCCACAATGGTAGTTCCCTGGGTCCAAACGAGACCGTGCGCGCCCATGGCGAACTCGAATTTAACGATGCCTGGCTGCAACGGCATGTCCGACAGTTCACCTGGCATACCCGCTGATATAGGACTCTGAACCATGCGCTGTCGTGTCCGTGCGCTGCTCGCGCTTGAGCCAAAAGGGCTTGAGCCAAAATGGCTACGGAGGGCTCTCATGGGCCGTGTTGGAGCTCTCTTGGACCGTCTTGGGGCCCTCTTGGGGGCCTCTTGGATCGTCTTACGGCCGTCTTTGGGGCCTTTGGGTCCGTCTTGGGCGCTGTTAGGACCGAAGAAGCGAAGATGCTAAAAACGTATGCTTTCCGAAAGGAATTTGGCTGTGTTTGCCTTTTGGTGACCTTCTGGGAGGCCTCTTGGGCCGTCTGGAGGGCCTCTGAGGCCAAAAATATAGATTTCCCGCTGGTTTGTGAAAGATTCGAATTTCTCGAGGACCTTTTCGGAAGCTTCTCGGGCACCCTTGGTGGCCTCCTGGGCTGTCTTGGAGCGCTCTTGGGGTCCTTTTGGTGCGTCTTGGAGAGCTCTTGGGCCATCTGTAAACAATCTTGGGCGGATTTAGGGCTGCTCTGAGCCTCGGGGGCGGGTCCCGGAGGGCTCCTGGGAGGGGGGCACTACCTATGTACAAGGGGGGGGCCCTGCGGGTCCCCGGGGTCGGAATCCCCCTATATATGTATATACATGCATACACACCTACATACATACATGCATATATGCATTAATACACAAATACATACATACACACTCACGTTCAAACATACATTTATCCATATATACATACATACATACACTCACAAACCTACATACATACATACATACATACATACATACATACAAACATACATCCATACATTCGTGCATGCATGCATGCATACCGACATACATACATACATACATACATACATACATACATACATACATACATACATACATTACATACATACATACATACATACATACATTCATACAATCATATAGTCATACATTCATACAGTCGTACAGTCATACGTACGTACACACATACATACATCAATCCATCCATTCATCCATCCATCCATCCATACATACATACCTACATGCATAATCATACATATATACATGCATATACACATGTGCATACATACGTATATATATATATATATATATATATATATATATATATATATATGCATACATACATACACTCGTGTCTTGGGGCCGTCCTGAGCCACTCGTGCGCAGCCTTGGACCGCTCCCGGAGGCCTCCTAGGCCGTCTTGGAGGCCTCTTGGGCCGTCTTGGACGCGGTGAAAGCCCAAGACGCGAACATGCGAAACATATACGTTTTCCCATAGGAATGGCACGATGCTTGTTTCTTGGACCTCTCTTGGGGTGCCTCTGGGAACGTCTTGGGGTGCTTTTGAGAGCCTTTTGGCGCCTCTTGGCGGCATTTTGGCGCCTCCTGGAGCCTCTTGGGCCGGAAGCTCGGAATTCGAGGTTGGCTTTCTCCGTCTGGGACCCCTCTCGAACTCGTCTTGGGGCTCTCTTGGGCCGTCTTGGGGCCGTCCTGGGCCACTCGTGCGCAGCCTTGGAGCGCTCCCGGAGGCCTCGTAGACCGTCTTGGGCGCCTCTTGGGCCGTCTTGGACGCGGTGAAAGCCCAAGAGGCGAACATGCGAAAAATATACGTTTTCCCATAGGAATGGCACGATTTTTGCTTCTTGGGCCTCTCTTGGGCTGCCTCTCGGAGCGTCTTGGAGGCTTCTGGGACCTTCTTGGTGTCATGACAGGCGTCTTGGAAGGCATCTGGAGCCATCGGAGCGCGTTCCGAAGCCGCCTGCGAACGATCTTGGACGGCGTCCGGCGGTCCGACGAGCCTCCGGGCCCCCCGGGGCCCACATTTGCGGTCGGGGTCCCGGCCCCGGGCCCCCAGACCCGGTGCGCCGTTATATGTATAAGACGTCCGTGCGGAGCTCGCACGCTGTGCCGCTGCTGGACCTCAGCTGTGAAGGGGCCCCGGGACACGCAAGTCGGGCACGTTCTTCTAAAGGGGGGATCTTCCATAGCAGTCCAGAAATAGTCTGGTGGTGATTTTGCCTGCATGCTTGAATCATTTTTGAATATGTTTGGAGTATGTGTACTCCAGATTTCGTAATAAAAGGGAGGGGGTCTGGACCCTCCAAGACCAGCCATTTCAGACCTCCCCCGTGGGAGAACCCTCCAAAACATCGTCCCCAGACCCCCCCAGGCCCTCCAAGATAGCCTGGAAGAGACCCCCCCCCGAAATGAGACCCCCCTCCCTTTCTTACGAAACCTGGAGTAAATGCACACATATACCAGGCTGTTGCAGGCGTTCACCCTTTCTTGGACGTGGATTTCCTCGCAAAAGCTAGCTCGCCGGTAGGTCTTCCCGGTGGCCGCAGCCTGTGGTTTTTTGACCGATTGCGGATTCTCGTTCTTGGCCAGATCCCTAAGCTCCCGTTCTCGAGCACGACGGCCTCCACGAGTGTTATCTCAACGAGGACCATCGGCGCTGCGGAGCTGCAACGATGCCACGGCTCACGAGGCCCCAGCGCCTCCAGCTATGGCGCAGCCGGCCTCGGGAAAGGAGGCGGATCGAAGCTTGCCTTGAACCAAAAATGGCACAAGTCAGGCGTCGACCCACCCAACCGCCCATGATGAATGCCCAAAGCTATTAACCAGCAAAGTAACAACTTAGTAATAGCGCTAGTGCTAGTGCTGGTGCTGGTACTGGTACTGGTGCTGGTGCTAGTGCTAGTACAAGTTTGTTTTATTGTTTTGCAGTCGGCTGCCATTGGGCAGTATACCTTGCCAAACTGGTCCACTTGAGTTTGTGCTTAGCGATTGGAGCATGGAAGAGCAGAGAAACGTGCTATCCCACCCTACGCTTGGGCTCCGCAGCTGCCGCAAAAGCGGTTTCCGGGCTCCAATGCCTGGCCACAGTCGCAGCAGAAGCGCTTGCCGATGACGTTCGTCAAACGGGGGGGCCACTGCACCGGGCTCTGGGTCTTCATGACAAGGCTGCAGTTCCAGGGTGGGCCACCTTGTTTGGGTAAACTGTCTTCCAGTTGGAGCATGAGCGGCGAACCCTTGGAGTCCACCCACGGCCCCAGTTGGTTCGGGACACCGTCGGTCCTGGTGTAGGTCAGCTTGTTGTTACTCGTCCGCGCGACCAACTCCTGCAGCTCTCTGTCCAAGCGGGCCTCCTGGTTCCTCAAGTTAAGCCAAGGGCAGAATATAATGCCACAGGTGAGCATGCACAAGCAATTCGCGACTCTTGCCACATCCGCAGTCTCGCCGTTGGCGTCGATATACTTTTTGACCTCAGCTGTGGTCGCCTCATAGTCCTCCCGAGACAGGCCTTGATGCGCCATCCAATCCTCGTAGGGAGGGAATCTTTGCACGCCCTTCAAGGTCTGACCGAACGTGACGTAGATCTCGGTCGTTTTCAATGGGTTCTGGTAGATGCGGTTGGCATGCTCCATTGCTTCCGCCCACACACAAGCCTTGCCGCTACTGCGGCCCCAAGCGAACAAATCGAGGGAAACCTCTCTTCGAGGGAAACGGCTTGAGCCCAAATGGCGACGGACTAGCGAATGAAGTGGGCAAATGAAGCATAGTTCAAGTGTCCCACTCGATCGAATGCTTGTGCACGAATACGTTCGTGGAAGCATTGGAGACACCAGTTTGTCCACACGTATGGCGGGTTGAAATTAAACGCCCAAAAGGAGAGCGAACGGTTGCATGTTAAATTGTCAGGGTGTTGCTCCTCCCAGGGGGAAACAGAACTGGTCGATGCTCGTACGTGGAAATGAGCATGTGGATGACATGTGTTCACATGCACGTGCTCGAACTCGCTGCGATTATTGTACGTGGATGTGATAATGCGCTTGGCTGGACTCGGTTTGGCAAAGGTACACGTGGAAAGCGCGCTTTCATGTGCTTCTGGGAAGGAGAACCAAAAAGTGGACTGTCAACCAGCGTCGACATGGGGATCTCGTGGCAATGGGGAAGCCGATGGGGGCAGGTCCGACGACGCCTTGTTGGGATTGGCTTCGACACACAATGGGTCTCTGTAGTTCCAACATGGGGCCAATGTCACACGCACCTACAGTGGGAATTCAAATGAGGAAGGCTGGACTTCCCCATATGTTTCAATATTCTCTTGATTTTCGTCTTCCCCCCCACTTCCCATATTCTCCAATATTTTCTTGGCAGTCGACGATTCGTTGTGTCTGTGTGTTTTTTCTTCCCTCCTGAATCTGACCTTTGCACGACTCAGCGCTCCCTAAACTGGATGCGTAATGATCCTGCAACGCGCTGGCAGCTACAAGGACCTCTCCGGCACACGCCGAAGAACCACACGCTCCCAAGACGCTCCTGCCGTTTGCGGCCTTCCCCCGCTTCTCTCCCAGTCTTCCTCGCGGCTTTTGTGCCTACGGCCGGAAATCTGATCCAGAAGGTCCTCATTTAAGAAACCTGGGCAAGCTTCCCGGACGTTCCTTACGGCAAACCTGGGCCAAGCGCTCGTGTTAACACTGGAGGGGGGAACGCGCGCAAGAAAACGTGGATCCAAGGCGCCGCCGATCACATGATCCTGGAGAAAGGGCCCAAGCACACGCAGCTATGAACATCGGCGGCGAGCGAAGGGGAACTTG